GGCCCTAGATCAGGTCAAAAGGTGTGTTGTGTGCCTCTGCTGTCACTCAGTATGGGGTCACATGGAGGGTGAGAGAAGGTCAGGCCTTATGAAAACTGTTTCATGTGTGTTTGGCACGAGTTGAGCTTTACCTGTGACCACTTTAGATCAGTCTCCAGCATTAACCCACTGCAGAGCAACCATGAGTGGTGAGTGAACCCATATCGAGGTTTTATGCTGTAGATTATTAAGTAAACTCTAAGCAGGGTGATAAATAATTTAGTTACTCAAATTTAATTAGTCTTTTTCTTATGTTTTCTTGATGGTGTATTATAGAGTGTATTATTTTTTAATGTTTTCTGACATTAGACAAACAGTAATCGGTGTCAGCGGTCTGTATGATGGTTGATTATTTTGTCAGCCAGTCCATAATTTCAGGGTAATTTTCTAGAGCCACAACGGTCTGAGATTTAAAGCAGCACTATGTAACTTTTTCTGTGTTCAAAATTTTTAAAAATTATATAATGAGCGAGTACATCATGAATTCATCTTCCAAACCGCGTTTTTGTCTTATTCCGAATCACTACGGTACACTTATAATAAGTACTTATATTTGGACTATTGTAGCCTGGTCGGGTCGTCACCGCTGCGGAGTAACATATACCTGCGTGAATCGCCATAGACATAAATTTAGAGAAGTAGCTCCGGTTGGAATGTTCTTCCGCGGGATGTGTGCAGTTCTGTTTATTAACCGCTAGAGCGCCAAAAGTTACATAGTGCTGCTTTAAAGCAATAATGCACCCAAATTTTATTTTATTTCTTGGAACAAAAAAGGCGACGTTTTGCAGAATTACATGGCTTCAGATATTTTGGAATATAGTGCACAAGTCATATAGTTAGATCATTTTTATAGTGCTTTTTGTAATTTTTTTGGAGCTTGACAGAATACACAATATTCATTCACTTCCATTGTATGGAAATAAGCAACCTGGACATTCTGATAAACATACTGTGTTCCACTGGAAAAAAAAAAATACTATTTGGATTTGGAATGACATAAAGGTAATGGAATGCAATGATGGAATATAAATTTTGTAAACTGTTTTTTTTTTAAACCATTTTCTTTTATGAGTAATTTTGCATACCCTTGCTGAATTTTGACAGAACTGCTTTAAAAAAAAATTCCATTTCTGAAATATGCAAAGCTGTTTCTGCCTCAGAGGAATGAATAAAAAGGTGATTGTGAGAAGTTTAAAATAATAAATACTTTGAGAAATATAGCCACAACTATGAGAAATAAAGTCACAATTTCAAATAATAAAGAGGCCGTTACGAGAACTAATGTAATATAAAGTAACATTGTGAGACATAAAGTTGAAATTATGTGGTAAAAAAGTATTGCAAGATATAAAGACACAATTACAGTCGTAACGGCAAAATATGAAGTCACTTTGTTCAATATAAAGTTGAAAATATGTGAAAAAGTCATAAATTGCAAGATATAAAGTCACAATTTCAGTCATAATTGCAACATTTAAAGTCAACTTGTGAGATATAAAGTTTTGCCAAAGGTATTGCAAGATATAAAGTCACGATTTCAAGATCGTAAATGCACATTGTAGTCACTTTGTGAGATATAAAGTTGAAATTATGCAGAAAAAAGTATTGCAAGATATAAAGTCACATTGTGAAGTTGAAATTATGTGGAGAAAATTAATTGAAAGATATAAAGTCACATTGCAAGATATAAAGACGCAAATTCAAGGTCATAATTGCAAAAGGTAAAGTCACATTGGGAGATATGAAGTTGAATTATGTGGATTAAATATTGCAAGGTACAAAGTCACAATTTAAAACAAAATGTAAAGTCACTTTGTGCAATGTAAAGTTAAAAATATGTGAAAGTCATAATTGCAAGATAGAAAGTCACATCGTGAGATATAAAGTTGAAATCATGCGGAGAAATTGAAATTGCAAGATATAAAGATGTCAAGGTTGTAATTGTGATATATAAACACGCATTATGCAATATAATGATGATATTATGTGAAGTCATAATTGTGAGATATAAAATAACATTAAAGGGTTAGTTCACCCAAAAATGAAAATTAGGCTGTGATATCCATATTGAAAACGTAATAATCACTTTAATCTAGCTTGCGCGCACTGTTGTAAACAGAAGCAGTTCCGGGCGGATGACGTATGAAGTCAGCTTTGCGCATGCGCTGAGCCGTGTGAGACACTTTTTTATTATGGATGGGCGATTTTTATTTAACTTCTTTTGGACTGAAGCAATGCAACACCCGCTGAGTGGCATTAAACAGCTTGAAAGATCAAAGACAATTTTTTATATAACTCCGACTGGATTCGTCTGAAAGAAGAAAGTCATATACACCTAGGATACCTCGGGAGTGAATAAAACGCAGCCTAATTTTCATTTTTGGGTGAACTAACCCTTTAACATATAATGTCACATTGCGAGATATGTCACTTTGAAATGAAGCAAGAAAGTCATGATAGGTATGCGAGATATAGTCACAATGTGATATATAAAGTAACAATTTCAAGGTTATCATTCCAAGATACACAGTCTCATTGTTAGATATGAAGTCAAATGACCTGTTTATTTATTCATTTTTTGCTATATTAATTGATCCTTATTATACTGGCAAAACGTGCTTCCATACTAAAAAGACAAGGTGTATATAGATTTGACTGACTGCTGTAAGCCACAGTTAGTTTACTAAAAATAAACCAGCTCTGCTAAAACCGTCAGTATCGGTTGCATTGGTTGAACCACTGCTACGACCCTCACCGGTGAATTCTTTGGCTGTTTTTTCATTATCCAGCTCAGCCTCTACGTAGATCCTAACCCATGTGTGCTCAAGTCAGCTGTGGTGAGCAGGTTCTTCACACTCACAGCTGACTCCAGAACAGCCCTCAGCTTTCACACCTTCACTTCCATCCTGGGCTGCATCCGAAACAGAATATACAATGACCGTCTCAGTGGAGACACTGTGTACTGCTTATCTGGAAGTCACGTGATATTTGTTTGTTGTCTTCTCAATATGATATTTATTTTGCATTAACAGTTTTCATAATCAATTAGAGCATGTCATTACTGTAGCCCCTCATCAGTATGGCAATCAGCACGTCATTAAAGTTAATGCTTAACTGCAAGAGTAGGTGGTGAATTGTGATTGTCATCATTTATTCACCTTCAAGTTGTTCCAAACCTGGACGAGTTTCTTTCTGCTGTTGAACGCAAAAGAAGGTATTTTGAAGAATGTTGGTTACCAAACAGTTGCTGGGCCCCATTGACCTCCAGAGTATGGAATTCAGTGGGGTTCATCAAATGGTTGGTTACCTATATTCTTAAAATATGTATTTGTGAAAATGTGTGTCCCAAAAATGGTGTTTAATGAAAGGTAGCCTATATCACCGGATCATCCATGCCCTCTACAGGAGCAGTACCTTATTCTCAAATTAAGTAAAAATACAAGGTTTACAGGATAGAAAAAATGTTAAATGTACTTATTTTAAGTGTGCTTATTACAGGAGGGGCGACAGCATTTGTACAATAATGTTGATTACCACAAAAAAAAAAAAGTCATTTTCAATTTTCTTTAAATATTCAAAGGATATACCAGCTTCAGTATAAGCTTAATCACTAGCATTTGATTACAATAATTTTTTTTTACAGTTTTCTTTTCTTTAAAATAAAGCAAACATCTGGGTTACAGTGAGGCAGTGAATGCAGCTAATTCCTAAGATTTAAAATGCTCAGTGTTTTTGAAGTATATAGCCATAAAATGTAAACAATGTGTATGTTAATTTATTGGTCAAAATATTAGGGAAAATATTTTTTGTGTGTTTTTGTTTTTTAATTGTTGTGTGTTCTGTATACTGTACTATTACTGTTATTATAATAATGAATAAATATTGTGATGTTTATCGACCCTAACTGGTTTTAATACAATTAACAAAAATCACACCATAAATAGTAACCGCGGCAAATAGCAAACAGATCAAAACAGTATCATATTATAACAAAATTATGACTTTACACACGTCAAATAAAATATGAATAAAATAAACATGAGAACATGATAAAACTAATATTTTTAAATATTACTTTAATATTTAATAAATGTTAATTATTAAATATTAGTATTAAATGTTACAATTTCATAAGAATAATTGTATTTAATATTTTCTTTTTTATAAACTGGGACATCTGGTAACCTTACCATAGGCCTAACCTTTTTTGTGACATAATCAGCATGTGTTGTGACTGTTTGTGATGCACTAGGTTTAAAAGTGCTTAACATCTATACAGTCTATGCTTTTGTTGTATGGAAAAGAGCAACTTACATTCTTCAAAATTTCTTCTTTTTGTCACAGTCTTCAGCGGGTGTGCCCAGGAGGGCCACCAGATGACTGTTCTGTGAGCACATGGCTTGTGTTGTGTTTGTCTGTTGCCATGTGCTCTCTCCTGTCTATTGTCTTGCCCCGCCCATCTTGTTACCTCGTTATAGTTTAAGTTGCTCCACCTGTGTCTCCCTCGTTAGCCTCCTCGTTTGGTTCCTATTTATTCTCCTGGTGTCTGTCATCCTGTGCTGATCCGTCATTTCTCATTGTGTGTGTTTCGTGTCTGCATGTGTGCAGCTTTAGGCCTGCCTGTCTGTTTTTCCCCTTCGGGGTGGTTTGAGTTTGTTTTTGTTTCATTTTTATTATTAAAATAAATAACCATTTCTCCTGCAATTGAGTCCTCGCTTCATCTCCCCGCACGCACCGTGACACTTTTGTTCCAAAAAACGAAGAATTTTCACTTTTCATACCCTGCAATGACCGATTCGTATTTTGCCATTTAATCACATCATGATGTAGAGTAGAATACACAATGTGTGAATGTTACATCTCGGTTTTAGCTGATACTACTTGAAAGATGGTGAATTTTAAGTCACAAAAAAATGAATTTTAGCCTTGATATGGTTCTTTCTGACTTCTCGGCCACAGTTTCCCACGAAAGCCTGTTGGACCATGTATTAGAGCTGATTATGAACGAGAAGCCTCCAAACAGCACTAGTCTGTTTCTGAGTGAAGACTCTGAGAAACCACAGCGCGCTCAGGAGGGCCTCCACCGTCTGTGCCGAGCGTTACAGAAACAGATGTCAGGAAGTCGACGAAAGATGGGCGGCATCACACGAGACAGCATCAAGACGTTCCTGCGGAGGAACGCCTTTGTGATCTTCACGGTGGCTGCTGTGGCTTTAGGTAAAGGAGTAAATCAACGGGCGAAACAGCAGGGAAAACACAATGTTGGGCTTGTTTTTTTGTTGATAGTGGCAGGGGAGTATGAAGTTTGAAAACTGATGTTTCTCATCTCTTTGACTGCATATAGGGGTGGTGTTGGGTTTCGCGCTGAGGCCTCATAACCTGTCCATCAGGGAGGTGAAGTATTTCTCTTTCCCTGGAGAGCTGCTGATGAGGATGCTTCAAATGCTCGTTCTACCGCTCATCGTCTCCAGCCTTGTCACAGGTACACCAGAAAAACCCTTCACGCTCTATAGAGCATTCGCTAACCATTTCAATTCCTTTACATTAGTTAATGCATTAGGTATCATGAGCTAACACTCAAAAAGGATTATTTTGTCATCATTTACTCACCCCCCCAAATCTGTATGAATTTCTTTCTTCTGTTGAACATAAAAGAAGATATTTTGACATCAAACAGTAGCGATTGAATTCCATACTATGAAGGTCATTGGCTACCAGCAATGGTTACCACATTCTTCAAAATTTCTTCTTTTGCGTTCAATAGAATATATTAACTATTGTTATGCTTTTACTGTGGCTTTGTTTTGTGCAATTTTACTATATAATTCAGTTCTGTTAACCTTTGGGGTTAGTCAAATTTAAATATATATATATATATATGAAGAGTGTATTTGCAAAAACAGATAACTCCGTTTTTTTAAATGTTCAAAAATCATGTTTTTTTTATTATGTTGTCGTGTTTTTATTGTGTTTTATCGTGTTAGTTAGCTGTATTTTTCTAGTTATTTTTACTTAATCAAAATAACCCAACTGCAGTTTGATTGAGATTAATTGGAATGCACAATGAAAAACATGATTTTTGAAAATTGTTATAAATTGTTATTATATATATATATATATATAATTTTTTTTAGTTAGAAAGAATGCATCAAATTGATCAAAAGTGTAACAGAAAAATAGTAAGCCAGTAAGACATTTACAATGTCACAAAAGATTTCTGTTTCAAATAAATGCTTTTGTTTAAACTTTCTATTCATCAGTGAATCCTAAAATTATATAACACTTAACACCATGAGTGTAGGTTTGATTTTGGCATTGGAGGGGACATAACGGCAGACAACAGACGTTTAATTATTTGATCAAAATTTTTGCTAGGGACAATTTAGTAGTGGCTGGATATTGGCTGGGACATGTCATAGCGTCTCTATTAAATTCTACACTGTTGAAAATCATAACAAGTGATGGACTTTGACTTTGGAAACTATAGTTCTACTCCAAAAACAAAAAACAAAACAAAACAAAAACATGGCTACAACTCGCATTTCACGAACTGAATGGTTCGCGATCCACGCTCTGAGTCCTGATCTGTAATAATGGTTCGCGAATCATTATTCAGATCGGGACTTCGGCATATTAGAATGATTTCTGAAAGATCATGCGACACTGAAAACTGGAGTAATGATGCTGAAAATTCAGCTTTACATCAGGAATAAATACATTTTAAAATATATTAAAATAGAAAACAGTTATAATTTGTAATAATATTTTGCAATATTACAGTTTTTTACATATTTTTGATAAAATACATTTCAGAAGAGAAGTCTTTAAAAAAAATCTTATTGCTCCCAAACTTTTGAATGGTAATGTATGTAATATCTATAAAAAACAGTATATGTAAAAATGAACACTGACCAATTATCAGTCTGTTAAGCTATTTAACCATAAACTATTTAATCAAAAAAGCAATGAACGATGGTGATATATATTGTGATTGACACAGAAATGTTCAACAACAGATCTTTTGTCTCTTGCTGTTGCATGCCTTCAGGAATCTCCTCTTTAGACAGCAAGGCCTCTGGGAAGATGGGAATCCGGGCCATCGTCTACTACATGGTGACCACGTTTATAGCGGTTTTCATCGGTATTGTAATGGTGATTATTATCAGGCCGGGTAAAGGCAGCAGGGACAGTCCAGTGGCCTCTAGTGGCAGCATTGAGCCTGTGCAGGCCGCTGACGCTTTTCTGGACCTGATAAGGTGGGGGAAAAGTTTAGTTCGACTGATGCGATGCTTGTTTGTTTTTTAGATGCTATGGGATCTCATTTTTCTCATTCTTCTTACAGAAACATGTTTCCACCAAATTTAGTTGAGGCCTGCTTTAAACAGGTTTGTGAATCCTCTCCGAATGCATCTCTGAAGATAATGTGCCACTTCTCATTTGGCACTAGGGCTGCTTGATATAAATTTGATATCACAATCAGTGTTGAGTGTGATGCATGACTAATGCATTAAATACTGTAATTTAAGTACCTTTCCCTTCAAAAAGAAAGGGATTATTCTTAATTTAATTACAGTTACTCCTGATGTAATACTGCGTAGACTAATAGAACAATTCTGTTAGGGGATAGTTCACCCAAAAATGAAAATTATCCCATTATTTACTCACCCTCAAGCCATGCTAGGCATATATGACTTCCTTCTTTCAGATGAAGCCGCTGCGTTTCCGCATTCGTCACTTCTGAGCAGCGCATGCGCAATCGCCGACCTCATACGTCATTCCCCCGTAACTGCTTCCATTTACAACAGTGAGCGCAAGCTAGATTAAAGTGATTATTACATTTTGAATATGGATATTTTTCTTACAAAAACGCATCGATTCGCTACAGGAGGCCTTTGTTCACCCCCCGGAGCCGATGGATGCTCTTTATTTCACTTCTTTTGGACTGATGCACTGCAACACCTGCTGACTGCCATTAAAACAGCTTGGAAGATCAAAGACCATTTTTAATATAACTCCGACTGGATTCGTCTGAAAGAAGAAAGTCATATACACCTAGGATGCCTTGAGGGTGAGTAATTCATGGGCTAATTTTCATTTTTGGGTGAACTAACCCTTTAACATCAAAATATATCATCTAATGTTAAAATGTATGCTTTTAATCCCTTTAAATACATTTCAAGAATAATTATATTATATATTTGAAAGAATTAAAAGTGCAGTTTATCCTTATATTGTTCAACTGGTCGAGGTTGATATGGGATTTAGAAAATAATTAGTAATAAGCAATGCGATACTTTTCATATCGCAATATATATTGCAGAAAATCAATAAAAACATTATTTTTTCCCAATATCATGCATGCTAATCACCCATTTTTCTTGCAGTACAAAACACTATACAAGAAAACCCTGTTGACCAAAAATGTCACCATCGTGGTCAATGCGACAGACAGCTTCAACTCTACAGACCTCAGCCAAGCGTCCAACTTCAGCACAGTCCTGCAGACCATCCAGGAGACGGTGGAAGAGGTGGTGCCTGTCTCCGGTTCCTCGAATGGGGTGAACGCCTTGGGGTTGGTGGTCTTCTCCATGTGCTTTGGATTAGTGATTGGAAACATGAAACAGCAGGGCCAGGCTCTTCGGGACTTCTTTGACTGCTTGAATGAAGCCATAATGCGCTTGGTGGCCATCATTATCTGGTTAGTGTGTGATTATGATGTTCTGATAACCTTCCTGCTGAATCATTAACAGTAAGGCAGTCATTTAGAGGAGAATGATGTGACGCTTGCTTTTTGTCCTGTCAAGATACATTAAAAAAGCAACTGACTGTAATACACCTCTTCGGTAATCATGCTTTTAATTTCTGTAGTACAGTTTATTTTGCATTTTTTGGGGGAACAAAAAGTAAAAATGCCAGTGAGATCCTGTACAATATTATAATGATAAAATAAGTCACATAAAAGAATTTGAAAATGTTTAAACATGTCTGTTTTACTACTTGTAAACTTGTTCGCCAAATAAAATGAATACGGTATGACTCACCAAAAATGTAATATAATAAAATGTTAAAAATACTTTTTTAACTTGTTGTATAATAATGATGATTAAGATGTGTACACTCTAAAATATTCAAGGTGTAAGGAACTTTTCTTAAAATTATATAGAAGTTTTTTTGACATGAAACATGAATACAAATCTTTTTTTTTTTTATGATTTTTCCTTTTTTTTTTCTTGGATACTCATAGTTGTGTTGAAAGCATAATAAGAAACTATCTTATAATAATGGATTAGTATGTCACATTAATGAGAAACCTTCTCATAATAACACATTAATATGTCATGATATTTAGAATAAAAAAAGCATCTCATAATTCGGACTCAGTATCTTGTAAAAACGAGAACATTACTTAAAATGACTAATAATGACTTAACATCTCATAATGATAAGAAAATGTGTTTTAGTGTTAATAGACATATAATAAGTGGAAATTATGTTTCATAATTGTTTTCTTAACATTATGACATCTTAACTGATAATTATGAGAAGGTTTATACAGTTTATACTTATACATACTAACTCATTATTATGAAAGTTTCTCATTATAATGAAATTATGTGATTTTCCCCTAAATGTTATGACATATTAAATATAGTTTGATAGGAAGTGTAATTTTTATGAGAAAGGTTCTCATTATTATAATATAGCCTACTATATTTCTTATTATTATGATGACAAATGTTCTTAAAATAATAAGGTGCTAAGTCATAATTATTTATATTTTTACAGTTAAAATATGAGTATATTTCTAAATATTATGGCAAATTTCTGATTATTATGATGTATAAATTCATTATTATGAGGACTTATGTCAATATTAAAATAAAAATTGCACATCGCATATTACAAATATCATGCAATGAAATGTAAAATTAATAAAAAAATCAAAGGCTCTATTTATGCATGTGTGTTATTAAATTATTACTTGTTAAAATATAATTGATTAAAATGTACTATTAATGAAATAATTGCTGTAAAATGTCTCTTCTGAGCAGGTATGCTCCGGTGGGAATCCTCTTCCTGATCGCAGGGAAGATCGTTGAGATGAAAGATCTTGCTCAGGTGGGCGGACAGTTAGGGATGTACACTGTTTCTGTTATTGTCGGACTCCTCATCCATGGCCTGTTCGTTCTGCCGCTGCTCTTCTTTGTGGTGACCAAGAAGAACCCTTTCACCTTCATCGCTGGGCTGCTGCAGGCTCTGATCACAGCTCTAGGCACCTCATCCAGGTATAAACACATTATAGACATCTATATAGGGCACTCAGTATATTTTACACATCTTACAGCATCAATACAGAGCAAATCGTCTGTTGTTGTTCTCACAGTTAGCTGAGAAGATCAGTCGGTCCAGTAGCAGATGGTGTTTCTAGCTGATATACATTAAAGACCCCATGGAATGGTTTTATGAATGTAGTGTGAATATATATTTCCTATTGAAACAGTAAATAGTACAGCACATATGAAAGGGCATCCTGTAGCTTTTAATTAACGTTGATTGAAGCCCAGTAAAACCACACCTGATACAGACAAAATCAAGCCTTTTGATGAATAAATTCTAGCTTCTTCCTTCACAACCAGTTGATGATTGGACAAGGGAATAAAGTATATTATGCGATTAATCGCATCCAAAATAAACGTTTTTTTAATATATTATGTTTTGTTTACATAATATATGTATGTGTGCTGTGTATATTTATTATGTGTATATATAAATACACACACATGCATGTATATATTTCAGAAAAATGTTATGTTTATATATTAAATATTTATTTATAATATAAATAATATGAATATAAATATAGACATGTAAATACATGTAAATATTTTCAAAATATATACTGTATGTGTGTGTATTTATATATACACATAATAAATATACACAGTACACACACATATATTATGCAAACAAAAAACTTTTATTTTGTATGCGATTAATCGTTTTGACAGCACTACTGTAAATAAAATATTTGTTATAGCTATTGTTGGGCAGACGTATGTAGTGTTTATAGTTTCTAGAATCAGATAGCATTTTATATTTATGAACCATATTTTTTATAATTTATTATAATATAGTTTGATTATATATACAGTAAATATTCATTTAATATGATATGATATCAATAAAATTATATTCTCTCAGATTTTAAATGTCTATATCTGCTAAAAGTTTATTTTGTCATATTTTAGCACTATGCTAGCACAGAGCTATTATAGTAAACTAAAATTAAAAGTAAAAACCTAACCATTTTTGAAATAAAATAAATGTTAACTGAAATAAATAAAATTTAAAAAACTTAAGCTTATTTTATTTCAGCTTGTTTCCAAGGCAAGATTTTGATATAAAACTAAAAAAAACTATTTAGACACATTTAGAACAACAAAAACTAATGAAAATTAAACAAAATTACTAAAACTATAACTAAAATTAATAAGGGATCAGAAAATACAAAAATATAATAAAATAAAATAAATAAAAAATATAATACAATGTAAAAATATAATATAAAATAAACTAATATATAATTCAAAATGTTACCAAAAACTATAAGAGCATCTCAGTGATACTAAAATAACACTTCACTAGCATATAAATGTTTGGCATATGATCTGAATAACAAGTCCTGAATATCATTATTCATTTCCCCCATTTGCCCCTGTATAGTTTGCTTGTCATTTAGGAGACATTTAAGAAGACGCAATGAAATTAATAGATTCTCATCCTGAATCCATGAGGTTGCAGCATTTAGCTATTTATACTTAGCCATCCTAAATATGTAAAGTATAACAATTTTTTGATGATTACATCTTAGTAATTCAATTCTCCTGAATAAATTTCAGTTGAGCTTCTTGTCTTCCTCAGCTCTGCCACCCTGCCCATCACTTTCCGTTGTCTCGAAGAAAACAACCATGTGGACAAACGAGTGACACGTTTTGTGCTGCCAGTTGGAGCCACAATCAATATGGATGGCACTGCTCTGTACGAGGCAGTGGCGGCCATTTTTATCGCCCAGGTCAATGACATGGACCTGAACTTTGGGCAGATCCTCACCATCAGGTTAGTGTTGGCCAGCACAAGTACTGAAGGAGTCTTTATCTCTTCTCACCTCCTTATTGCGAACAATATCTCCTGTGGGCTATTTTTCATCAAACTCCAAATTAAAAAGCCCTCATGTTTCCCGCAGCATTACGGCGACCGCCGCTAGCATCGGAGCAGCAGGCATCCCTCAGGCTGGGCTGGTTACCATGGTGATAGTATTGACATCGGTGGGACTGCCCACAGAGGACATTACACTGATCATCGCGGTGGACTGGTTCCTGTGAGTCTCTCTCAAATGTCACGCTGAAGCATGCGGCTCCAGTAGAGAGCACTCTCTCAAAGGTTATTGATACATAATGCAGACTGCTAATCTGAAGGAGTGTTGACACATTCGGCTTTCATACTGCTGAACACTGAATTGAATATGTTAAACGTTTCTCTTCAGTGACTTATAAGCAGAAAGTTTCTTTACTTAACAGATTATTAATGATGTTTGCTAATGTAAGCATTACTATTACTGATGCTTATTTAAAGGGATAGTTCACCCAAAAATTCTGTCATTAATTACTCACACTCATGTCGTTCCAAACCTGTAAGACCTTCGTTCATCTTTGAACACAAATTAAGATGAAATTCGAGAGCTCTCTGACCCTCCATAGAGAGCAACGCAACTGACACGTTCAAGGCCCAGAAAGGTAGTAAGGACATCGGGTGGTTCAACCGTAATGTTATGAAGCTACGAGAATACTTCTTGAGCGCAAAGAAAACTAAAATAACAACTTTTATTCAACAATTTCTTCTCTTCCGAGTCAGTCCTCGCCGCACGTTCACGAGAGTAGCACGACGCATACATGTGATGCTGCTGACTCAGGAACCGGCGTTCTGACATAGAACCATCCATCTCTCTTACTTCATCGTCCGTATATTCTGGTTCAAATAAGTAAGGCTGGGCAAAAAAATTGCAAGTCATCCTCTCTGTAGAAATCTTCAGACATGTTTACGAAGACTGTTTTATGTACAGTATGTGCATTCCTCTGCTTGTAAACAAGGCGCAGCGCATCTGAGTTCTACGTCAGAAAAAGTATTTTCACAAAAAGTGAATTCTCGTAGCTTCATTAAATTACAGATGAACCACTGATGTCATGTGGACTATTTTAATGATGTCCTTACTAGTTTTCTGGGCCTTGAACGTGGTAGTTGCATTGCTGTCTATGGAAGCTCAGAAAGCTCTTGGATTTCATCAAAAACATCTTAATTTGTGTTCCAGATGACATGAACGACATGAAGGTGAGTAATTAATGACAGCAGTTTCATATATGGGTGAAATAAGCCTTTAAAGGGGTCTTATTTTGCCCTTTTGCAAAGTCTTGATACTAGAATAGGTTTTCATGCTTGATTGTTCCAAAAGCACATTAATTTTCACATATTTTACATTATTGCAGTGCCTCTCTTCCCTGTTTAGTTCTTGTTTTGATGAAACCCCTCCTTCCGAAATAGGAAATGTGCTCTGATTGGTTAGCTGGCCCAGTGTGTTGTGACTTGCAAACCGCTTACAGCGTGTTTCCGGAAATGTCACGCCCCTAACCATAACTGCGAGTTTCTTCTGCTCAGCTGTAAATATTAATGATGGTGTCAGTTTTGCCATACCAGTATGAACCCAGTTCATGGCGACAACACGCTACTAAAGCAGCTCTTCTTCTCCGTCTTCTGTAGTGCAGCTCAACAAGGCCTCGCCCCTTTTTTGCATATTCCGTGGTGGGAATTATTTAAATGAGAAGTGCGCTGTAGTTGGAACAAGCCGTTTGTTGTAGTTTTGAAAAGTGTTTTCTGTTAAAGAGAATATCTCCTTTTAGAGTGGACTTTGAGCTTTGCATAGCCTTGCAGATCTTTTTATGCTTAAACAGCAACATAACACAGTAACTAAAGCTGAAACAGTCTAAAAGCTCAATAGGACTCCTTTAAACAAACTAAATTCACTATTACATTTATAATAAAATATTAAATTGTGTCACAATACCAGTCCTGCTCATGTGCATCAGACACAAATGATGCCTCAAACTCATGTGGTTTGTTGAGGAAAAGTGTGCTGTTACTTTTCTAAGCAGTAGGGTGAATTTACAGTTGGTAAAAACAGGTTAAAACATGCCATGAAATTGATTGAGGGCCCAAAACATATTTCATATGTGGACTCTTTTGACTTGGACCAGTAAGAGACCGGCTGTTAATCATCTTAATCACCTTAGAAACCACCTAGGGAGTGTCTACCCATAACAAGTCAAGTCAAGTCACCTTTATTTATATAGCGCTTTTAACAATACAGATTGTGTCAAAGCAGCTTTACAGTATCAAATAGGAAAATAGTGTCAACAATGCGGAAGGACAATAGTGAACACTCAATTTTCAGTTAAACACACACCAGCAACTGTATAGCAACACCTTTGCAACCACCCTAGTAACCACCTAGGGAATGAATCCTTGGCAACGACACACAACACTCAAGAAACTGCATAGCAACACCTTAGCAACCACCCTAGAAACCACCTGGGGACCACCGTGGCAATAACCCAACAACACACCAGCAACTGCATACAGTAGCAGCACCTTAGCAACCACCCTAGAAACCACCTAGGGATTGCCTTGGCAATTACACCCAACACACCAGCAACTGCTTAGCAACACCTTGGCAACCACACTAGAAACCACCTGGGGACCACTTTGGCAATGACCCTTATCCTAACCCTAACCTAACCCAACACAAAAGCAACTTTATAGCAACACCTTGGCAACCACCCTAGAAGCCACATGGGCAATGCCTTGGCAACCACCACAACAATCCAGCAACTGCATAGCAACACCTTGGCAACCACCCTAAAAGCCACCTAGGGAATGCCTTGGCAACGACACAACACACAAGCAACTGCATATCAACACCTTGGCAACCACCATAGAAGCCACCTAGGGAATGCCTTGGAAACCACCCACATCACCCTAGCAACTGCATAACATGTTAAAAGCCACTTTTACATCATAGCACCTGTATAGTAACACCTTGACAACCACTCCAAACACCCAAGCACGATGACAAAAACAATCCATAACACCTTAGCATCTGCATAGCAACAACCTAGCAACACCTTGGAAACCACCTATAACACTCTAGAAACTGCATAGCAACATGCTAAAATACCCATCACACCTTAACAATATCCAAGCAACACCTGCCAAAACCTTGGCAACCACCCTAGGAACCACCTGGGGACCACCTTGGCAACCACCCACAACACACCAGCAACTGATTAGCAACATCTTGGCAACCATCCTAGAAGCCACCTAGAGAATTTCTTGGCAATGACACACAACACAACAGCAACTGCATAGCAACACCTTGGAAACCACCCACATCACCCTAGCAACTGCATAACATCATGTTAAAAACCACTCTGTACACCATAGCACCTGCATAGTAACACACTGGCAACCGTTCCAACACCCTAGCAACATGAGAGAACCCATTTAGAACACCTTAGCATCTGCATAGCAACACTCTAGCAACACCTTGGAAACACTCTAGAAACTACGTACATAGCAACATACTAAATCACCCAGCACACCTTAACACCTGCAAAAACAATATCCTAGCAACCACCTGCCAACACCTTGGCAACCACCCACAACACCCTAGCAACTGCATAGCAACAAACAAACAAACAAAAAAACACTCTGAACACTTTAGCCCCTACAAAGTAACACCCTAGAAACTGCATAACAACAAGCTAGAAACCACTCATAACACCTCAATCAGAACACATTAGTGTCTGCATAGTAACACCCTGGCAACCACCCACAACACCCTAGCAACATGCTAAAAACCACTCTAAACACCTTAGCAACATATTGGCAACCACCCACAACTCCCTGACAACATGCTAAAAACCATTCTAAACACCCTAGCAACCCGCTGCAACACTCCAGCATTGCAGTGGTGAGCTTTTCATGGTAAAGCACCACTCAAACCTGAAGAAAATGGATTTAATGTAAATGTTTTTGTGTGGTTCAGGGATCGACTCAGGACCACCACCAATGTGCTGGGAGATTCATTCGGCGCTGGGATCGTTGAGCATCTGTCACGACAGGAACTCCAGAACCAGGATGTGGAAATCAGCAACTCTGTGATCGAGGAGAATGAAAAGCCGTACCAGCTGATCTGTCAGGAGAACGACTCTCTCAAACATCGCAACAGTGAAACCGCCATGTAATTATCCTCAAATCATTATAGTTCAAACCAACAGACTGTAAAAAAAGATGGCCGACGCTTCTCCACTTCTGTCCACCATAGAAAAGTGAAGCCAAAATATCCCAGTTACGGCCGTTGTCCAAGTGTGAAAATGAAGTAATTTGGGCCAGAGTGTGCGCAGTAGTGATTCAGTTGGAGCCCGCGCCAGTAGTGATCATGAGGTGGAGCTGCGGTATCAAAATCCCATCCAAGCTCCCACAGACCCAATCACAAACCCACAATCATGACACCACATGCCATTTTTATAGCATCAAACTAAAACAAACCGTATTAGAAATTCGGTGTTTGCAAAAAGTGATGACGGTTTTTGTGGGCGGAGACTATCTGGTAGTAGAAAATGACAGTTTTCTAGTAGCAATCTATGGAAGCCATGGAATAAAATTAAAAAAAAAAGGTATATTTGAGTTTATATTTCAAAATTCTGACTTTATTCTCGCAATTCCGAAATTATATCTCACAATTTTGATAAGAAGTCATGAGTTTATATCCCACAGTTCTGGCTTTTTTCCTCAGAATTTACAAACTCGCTATTGAGGAGTTAAATCCAGTTCTAAAGATATAATCTTGCATTTGTGACAAAAAGTCAGAATTGTGAGATAAAATAGGTAAATGTTATGTAAAACGTTATAGGTTTAAATAGTATTTCATGCTGTAACTGTAGGGCTAATACAATATGTCCCCTATGAACTGCATATGTGAATATTATTTAGACCTATTGTTTAAATCAAATTTAGGGTAATCACACCAGGTTTCATCCATAGTCTGTCCATTTAAACGTTAGTGTCTTTAGTCTGTGTCGACGGTATTCTATAAAAATGATTTGCATTCCGATTCTGACATCCAAAGGCACAACAACAATAAATTTTTTCTCTTATTCCATGGATTTGACCTGTTTCCCTCCACTTGTTGTTTTTCTGCCACCACAATGCACACGCAGCTCCAGGTGACATAACTGTGACATCTACTCCAAATTGGTCTATCAGCATGATAAGAGCTACCTAAAATGATGGAAACCATCTCTGGGAAAAATTAATTTCAAGTGTGATTTTGATTTTTAAGTTTGGCTTACGTCCCATTTGTCTACATGGAGAGGGCGTGGTTTATGACCTACCCTGTATACTGCAGCCAGCCACCAGATGGCGATCAAAATGTTTTGGCTTGACTTTTTGGAACATGCAAGGCACACTTGTTCACACTTAAAGCACTGTTATATTAAAGGGGTGGTTGATTGCGATTTCACTTTTTTAATGTTAGTTAGTGTGTAATGTTGCTGTTTGATCATAAACAATATCTGCAAAGTTACGAAGCTGAAAGTTCAATGCAAAGGGAGATATAGTCTTTTAAAATTCTGGCAGTCCTCTGCGTCTCAATCGGGCTCAAATTGATAAGCAATATAGACAACGTCATTGTTTACAATACAACCGGAGCACATGCCGCTATGTTGAGGGGCGGGACGTTTAGACTCGCGCTAGAGGCGGTTTAGCCAATCACAACACACTGGGCTAGCTAACCAATCAGAGCCCATCGTGTATTTCTGAGGGAGGGGCTTCATAAAAGCAGGAAATGATCAGGGCGTTCAGAGGAGAAGGGACCGAGAGGTGTGGAACAAAGGTAAATTATGTGAAAAATAATGCGTTTTTTAACAAACGAAGCATTAACACATGTTAGACTGCACCCCATAAACACAATCAAGCCTATAAAAAAACCAGTCAACCACCCCTTTAAACATTTTCTGAAAATTAGAACATGCTCACTAAAATGTTGGAAAGAAGACAGATGTTGAGAATGTAAGTGATAGCCAATGCGAATGTAAGATTTGTCAATGCTATCTCACAACAAATTCGTATATATTTTACGGAGGTGGCTAATTTTTACGACCTCCCTCGTGTTCTCTGTGAGGGGTAGGTTTAGGGGTGGGATTAGGGGCGGTCATTTGTATGAATTCCTACGAATTTGCCACCTCATAAAATAAGTACGATTTTTCACAAAACGTACAAATTCGTACGAACAAGCTCTTTCGAATTCATATGAACTAGCCACCTTGTAAAATATGTATTTGCTGTGAGATCAGGTTGGATTTGTGGTTTTATCCATCAGTATTTTTATTTACTTTGAAACAAATCACATCCAAGTCACAGTAGCACCCAATTAAAACAACACTATGCTAGTTTTATAATGCTGATTTGAGACTGTTAAAACCATCAAGGTTTTTGTAAATTGTTTAAAGTATAAATATTGTTTTAGAGTTGGTTGATGTCATTAAACCTGCATTATTACTTAATGCTGTATTACCTCATACACACAATGCCAAACTAATAGATGATACATGTAGAGACAAAGGGAACATTTTTGAGTTACTTTGATGTTCTTATTGTGGTTTTGTTATCTAGTTTAACAATGATGTTAATTTTGTAGATGTTTATATGATATTGAATGATACTGTAATCAATTATTTATATTATGTAATGTTTCTTTGATGAATTTAGCTTTTGCCTTACTGTTTCATGATGGACTGTGAAGTACATAAGTATAATTCCTCCCTTAAAGGGACAGTTCATCCAAAAATGAAAATTCTGTCATCATTTAATCACCCTCCACATGTTCTAAGGCTGTATGAGTTTCTGTCTTCTGTTGAACACAAAGGAAGATAATTTGAATAATGTTTGTAATCAGAAGTCAGCGCTAGCCATTGACTTCCATGGTATGGAAAAAATACTATGGAAGTCAATGGCTACCGTCAACTGTTTGGTAAATGATGCCGGATTTGTCATTTTTGGGTGAACTGTCCTTTTAAGAATGGCTTTTATTAACATTATTTGTTTGGATTCATTCTTGATAGCACACATCAGCAGGATGTAAAGTTTTGGTGAAGAGTGGTTTATGAAGAATAAGATATTTTTTTTGTAGTGGAATATGACTGATTATTCTAGCGTGCTCTAGTTCTCCAGCCAGTTTGTGTTGTGCTTTGCTGGTTGTTTTAAGTAGGCTACTTTTTGAGATCTGTTTTCCAGTTTTATAAATATCCTCAGATTGTGCTGTCCGTATTGCACCTGTGTCTGGGTGAAATACTTGAATCTAACACAGTCTCCAAATGTAGTAGGTATAACTACCAAAAGTATTAGGATAATGGATTCACTTCACAATCCTCTCTCTTAAGTTTGGATCCACAGTATATACTTTTAGTAGAGATTGCTTTTAAATGCAAACTATGTGAAAATGGTGTAATGTTGTTTAATATTTCTTATTTATAAGTATTTTTATGATACCATTTTGTACTGTACTGTACTTATTCATTTGGAGTTTGCCTTTTTGAGTTAATGGTCTAGTGTGGGCATATATTTGACTTGAATTATTTGGTCATTTGAATTCTGGAAGGTGTTAAGATGAATAAATGTCTCAGGAATAAAATGACTCAGTTTACAGTGTTCTCTTGTTGAAAACAAACCGCATCACACTGTCGCCGAATAGCAGCATATTAACAAAACAGCATCCTCTAGTGGTGTGTAATGGATTCAGGAATTTTTACCTGAATGCATGTGTCTGTGGATTGATGGATGGACGTGTATCATTCATCAATCTTTTGAAAATGGAAATTGGACATATGTCTCAGGAACTTTTCTATATCATTCCTGTAGCTCAAATAGCAGGGCACAGTGCTATTAATGCCAAGGTCATGGGTTTGATTCCCAGGGAAAGCAAAAAACTGATAATGTGTATCTTGAATGCCGTAAAAGTGTCTGTCACTTGCATGAAATGTAAAGAATTTGACATTTGCCTGATCTTTTTTCTTTTCTCTTTCTTTCAACAAAAATGACCTTATAGTTGCTATCAGTATTTTGCTAAGTTTACTTGCACTGGCAAGCTCAATAGCTCAACTCTGTTATAGGAAAAATAATAGCGATTTATTTATTACAGAACAAAGGCACATAATTATGTGAATATATGAATACAAAAAAAAACAAAAAAAACACTAGCTTTCTATTTTTTCTATTCTATCTACTTGTTTTTCTTTGTGTGTGTGTGTGTATAATATATATATATATATATACATACACCTTGCTACGTGTACTGCGTTAGGCTAACCGAGGCTTGTCATTTGCACTTATATATTGTTGCTCTTTTGTTAGTTTTGACTGCTTTTATTGTCCTCATTTGTAAGTCGCTTTGGATAAAAGCGTCTGCTAAATGACTAAATGTAAATGTAATGTAAATGAATATTGTCAGTAAATAATGTGTTGTGCAGTGGTATTTGCTATATTTTGCACTGATGCAGAGATGCTGGAAACTTATTTATAAAAAAATATTTTTGTTAATATTTTTAATTATAATTATTTTTTAAACACAAGTCTAATCTTATTTCTCAATATTTTAAGATGCTAATGTTGTCAAAGAAGAAGTCATCTAAGAAGTCATCTCATTAAGCTCATCTAATCTAAAAGCTGCTCAAATAGCCTATGTATTTTCACACGTGAAATAATTAACCCTGGGTCATTCTAAACCCCTGGATATCACACGGCTCATAATTTACCCGAGGTTAACAATTAATCCCTCCTGGGTATACATAAAGTGACGTTTCACACTGCACGTTCCTAAACCCCTTAGCGTTCTTATTTGCATATTCGCGGTCAGTGTTGCTGATTGGACGAACGCAGCAAGCAACCTGTTTATATCTTTGGTTTAATTTCCTTTGTTATGTTTATCAAATTTTCCCTGAATGGACTTTTCGGTGGACTTTAAAGGTAAGAATAAAACAGTCTTCACTCCTGTTCACGTGTTTTCCGTAACTATTTGACATTTTCCCCTCAAACACGAAACGACTGTTTATACAACACGCGCTTCCATGACTGTTCAAAGTTGCTAAGCATCTAGTAACATTCACATATCGTTAACATATCGTTTCACATTGTACACGTTTGAAAACGCAAAAGCGCTGTTAACCCTTCTCCGGAGCAGGCTTTCATAACCCGGGTAAAAAGCTGAGATAACCCTGTGTGAAACAGCCTACTTTTACCCGGGCGAAAAGCGCGGTTTAGTACTACAATAACCTTGGGCTAAGTACAGAAAGTTACTAGTCTTTTTTTTTTATAAAAACAAAACCATACTCACTATTTTCATTTATTTTTATATATAAAAATTAGTTGTGTTTTAACATACACAAGATAATCTGTAATTGCACTATAAATTGATCGAGAACAGTGATACCAGCTTACTGGACTCTATAGAAGAGCTTGTATAAATTATAGAGACTATACATAGCTGCAGAGATTATAAACAACCTTTAACAAGTCTCAGAGAAGAATACTTTGGCATATAGATTAACAGTCATTTGAGAGGACATCTAAATATCACAATATATCTGGATAACATACTGTTT